TGTGTATGTGTGTGTATATATATATATATATATATATATAAGTGTGTGTTAAAAATTTGGGCAAAAGATTTCTACAGTTATACATTATATGACAATTGGAAAATTCATGAAGGTCTTTTTTCCAATTGTTATTTAATGTATAACTCTGTTGGGATCATTTACCCAAATTTTTGACATATTATCAATATGGAGAACGCAGGGATAAGAAAAACAAATCTTTCATTTATTTTCTACCCATTCTGATGGATTTCTATCAATAAACTCGGACACTTAAAACAAAGGAAATGAAATGTTAAACAACTTTTAAAATAAGTCACTCATTTTCTTTCTTTCTAGTCATGAGCAACAGCAGCTTTGTAAAAAAAAAAAAAAAAAAAAAAAAATATATGATCTCATTATTTTAAATAAGCACACAAATACATACACACACAATTGCCTTTTCATTTTTGATCTGATGAAACCCAAAATAGGCGAAATGCATTATCAGATATTTTTTCGAAACATTATACTTTCATGAACATTTTTACCAATTGGCATTTAAAATATATATAATCCCAGGAACAAACATATATAATGTCGGGAACAGATATATATATATTATAATAATAATAATAATAATCTTATAAATATGAGTAAGTATACTCATCCAGAAAAACCTTAGGTATTTTGGTTTGTAAATGAACAAACCAATACCCAAGGAAAAATAAGGAATAAAAAAAAGAAAGAACTAAGAACATGTAATTCAGGCGAAAACAATCGACCATAATCCAAGCTCAGTCCAAACCTCCGACATGAGTAAAGTAAAAATGACTAAGCAAAGTGCTCAATACACTAAGTAGAGCAAATCTACCTATGAACCTAAAGAACCAGACACACCTACCTAGGTTTCACCTACACGGATCGTCAGGGTTGGCTGGCATAGTCTGACGACCCGCATAGGTGAAACCTAGGTAGATTTACCTGGCTCTTTTAGGTTCATAACTATATATATATATATATATATATATATATATATATAAATATATATATATATATATATATCTGACAAACTGGAAAATAGTTTTCTTATGAAGCATTTCCTCCTATAGGACTTCATTAGATACAATGTGGTGTGCTGGGGATTTTAGAATTTTTTTTTTTTGTTTGTTTTTTATATCTAGCCATATTTATATTATTTTTTATTTTCATCACTTTTATTAGTTTAGAACGTATCCCACACTGTGATAATAGAAGATCTACCAGAAATGGTGAAATCTTGTAAGAGCCAGGGGGGCAAATTTACTTGTAGATGACTTTGTGATCAGAGCACTCTCTGAATACATTTATCATATCAAAGAAGAAAACAATTCACTACTACCATTTTTATTACAGTTTCTTCTGAAACTAAAATAGTTGCATATAACCCTATCCTATACACTTGTATATACATTTTATTTTTTACTATGTATCAACCAATAGAAAGGTTGAGAGCCACTCAAGGTAGAGAGTTACATTTGAAATGGTAATGCTGAATGAATATGATGCAAATGGAAGTGATGATCACCTTTTTGATATGAATAGTTCAAGGGTGAAATATTCGTCACAGCACCAGCATGGGAGTCTGTTCCACAAAGTTGCAGTTCTTGGAGAAAATGCTCTCTGGCAAGTATTATATACCAGGAGTTGGCAACCTGTGGCATGCAAAGCAATTTCCAATGGCATGCAGTTGCAAATGAAATCACAAAGTCCAAACCAATAACTACTACAGCGCAAAGAAGATATTTAGCTGTTTCAATTTTAGTATATACTAAAGTATATATACTATATATAACTATATAAAATATATTGTAGAACAGGTATATTGATTTTGACTTGTATAGAAATACATACGCTGTTGGCACGCTAAATGCTTTTAAAACCCTAAGTCAACACATAGTAAAAGGTTGCTGACCCCTGATCTAAGACATTAAGATTATTTAAAACAATTATGTCTCCTTACGACAACTCTTGACAAAATTCTACATAAAGTATTGCATCCTCTAAATTTGGATGAAGACCCCTTTTAGAGCGAGGGTCGGCAACCTATGTCACGTGTGCCATGCCAAGCAATTTCAAATGTCATGCAGACACAAATGACATCATGAAGTCCAAACCAATAACTACTACAATGCAAAGAAGATATTTAGCTGTTTCAATTTTAATATATACTAAAGTATATATATATTCTATATTACTATATAAAATATATTGTAGAACAGGTATATTGACTTTGACTTGTATAGAAATACATATGCTGTTGGCACATTGAATGATTTTAAAACCCTAAGTTAGCACATAATGAGCAACAGGTTGTCAACCCCTGTTATATAAAATGCTTTTCAGACCACTATGCTCATCTGTTAGTACTGGAAAGTTACATGTTGAAAGTTTCAGATAGTATTTTTATAGCAGTGCTTCAATCTGAAATCTGTTGAAAGTGATCTACATTCTGGAAGACATTCAACAAGCTGAACACTGGAAAATATTGAATTCATGCTGGCTGCTATCAAACGATCATTTTACAGTGTAAGAATAAGATCTGTTGATTCCAATGTTTGAAACAGATCCAGCAATTTTCAATATCTCAACTGTTCATCCTTTGTCTCATGCAGGGCTTTTTGACAGGACATTCAGATTTGACTCTTAAGTAATGGCCTTTGTTCAAAAGCTAAGATCACCATCATCATTAAGAGGGGAGAAGTTTTCCAACCATGGACAAGATTAAGACAAACATGAGACAACTGATAAGAATCTTGAAAAAGAATTTTGAAAGCTTGTTTGAAAAGTGTGGAGTGGATATTATAATAAGATAATGATGTGGGTGTTTTGAAGAGGAATCAGGTGCCACTGTCCTAACTAGGCTACTCTTTCATCAATATTAAAGGAATTGATGCTTTCAGACAGCTTTTTCATAATAAAAAAAAACAAAAAACAGAGAGGCTGTATCAGATTGTCTGTGATATATATATATATATATATATATATATATATATATATATACACACACACACACTCACTCTATCAGTCAAATGTATTTGGCCACCCTCAAAAATTTTTATTTCTCATGCTAAAAGTGCATATGTGGGCATCTGAATGTAATGATAATATCAGTTGTTTTACCTACAAGGGGGCATTTGGTGTTCATTGTCCACACAGCCATTACTGTTTTGTTTGATATTTATAAAATGTTTCACTTAAAACAATTTTTCAGGGAAATATGTTTTTTCAAGTTTTATCACTCATGTTTGGATGGGGGTTTCCTTTCTAGCCTTTTATTAGAAGTCATGTGGAATGTCAACATCTTGATTATGTCATTATTTTCTCTTCAAGTTACATGTGTTATCCATTTTCATTGTTGCTGCTGTTAATGGTAGTCCTCAAGTGATATGGTTTCTGTTATTTAGTACAGTTCTTTGTTTGTGATTCTGTGACTCCAGTCCACAATGTTTAAAAAAGTATAGTCTTTGCCAAATCATCAGGCTTCACTTGCTCAAAACCATTTTTAACCATTGATCTTAGAAAACAGTTGTATACAATTGAGAATTTAGATATTTCTGAACAGGTTTAGCACCATGCATGACATCCATATGAAAGACTTGATCTGGTGACACTATGTAAGTACATGATTCGGGTTTTTAAGTTACTGTTTTATGTGTGGGCAGATACATCTGCCAATGTATATTTATATTTAAATATTATGTGTACATAATACTATATTTATGTCTACATAAATATTATTTTTAAATATTATGTGTATTAATATATTAAATAATTATATGTGGGGAAATGAATCTGCCGATGCAGAGAATAGCAATAATACTGAAAGTGTATATCTTTACATTATTTACACTCTTTGGGTCCTGTCACTGAATCTAACTAATGCCTTTATCCACTGTGTGAGTTCAGTACCTGGTTAAGGTAGTGGAGAACTTTCAGTGGGAAATTAACAGGAGATAACTGATAACTGACATCTATTAAACATGACACGTGGAACTAGAACAGTCTACCACAGTGAGTGAAATAAAGGGTTCAGTTCAACATTCCAACCACCTGAAGAAGGCCGGAGTGTACAACAGCTGAAACATAATAAATATGGGGACAAAGATGAGGACAATAGTCCAAATAATGTACATAATACCTCATCTCAGAAATATACACAGATACTGAAGGGCCAAAATATTGTAATAAATATGGCGAAAAAGATGAGGACAATAGTCTGAATAATGTAAATAATACCTCATCTCAGAAATATAGACAGATACTGAAGGGCCGAAATGTTGTAATAAATATAGTGACAAAGATGAGGACAATAGTCTGAATAATGTAAATAATGTACATAATACCTTCTCTCAGAAATATAGACAGATACTGAAGGGCCGGAATGTTGTAATAAATATAGCAACAAAGATGAGGACAATAGTCTGAATAATGTAAATAATGTACATAATACCTTCTCTCAGAAATATAGACAGATACTGAAGGGCTGGAATGTTGTAATAAATATAGCAACAAAGATGAGGACAATAGTCTGAATAATGTAAATAATGTACATAATACCTTCTCTCAGAAATATAGACAGATACTGAAGGGCCGGAATGTTGTAATAAATATAGCAACAAAGATGAGGACAATAGTCTGAATAATGTAAATAATGTACATAATACCTTCTCTCAGAAATATAGACAGATACTGAAGGGCCGAAATGTTGTAATAAATATAGCAACAAAGATGAGGACAATAGTCTGAATAATGTAAATAATGTACATAATACCTTCTCTCAGAAATATAGACAGATACTGAAGGGCTGAAATGTTGTAATAAATATGACAAGGATGAGGACAATAGACCGAATAATGTAAATAGTGTACATAATACTTCATCTCAGAAATATAGACAGATAGTGTATATTTTTGTATTTGTTTGTGTATATATGCATTAAACATAATGGTTATTACTGCATAAAGTCGGATTGATCTCTTCTTGGTTCCCATATGATCACATAAGTTAAGCAATGTTGAGCCTGGTCAGTATCTGGATAGTTGACCACTTGGGAATACCAGGTACTGTAAGCCTGTATGTTCACATGATGTAATGGATTACATCATTGTTAATCGGAGAGCTAAGTTCTAATTCCAGTTTGGTTCTTTATATTCACTTAGGTGCAAATACCCTTGGGAACAGTATGAAGCCACCATCCCATCCTGGATATGACGATAAACTACACCCGCCCCCTGGGTAAGACAATAAACTGTCCAACAGCAAGGCCTCTGATCAGGAGGCTTTGAGTAGTGTAGAACCATCTCTTAATTACATGCGTTCCCAGGCCCACCCTGACCCAGAGTGGTAGAACTTGTTAAGGTCCTAGATATGGACAAATTATTAACCCCCCCCGCCAACCTAGGCTCGAAAAACTACAGAAGTGTAAAAATAGATTTTAATACCAGAAACAAAATAACAAAATAAACAAATGAAGCCACCTTCTCCCCCTGCTGTGGGTTAATTAGTAGTACTTGTATCAGTAAACCATTCTCTCTCTCAAAAAAAATTCTTACAATCTAAAAATATCTGGCTTTAAATAACTTGCTGTTGGGAACAGTATGAATCCTTCTTCCCCTGCTGTAGGTTAATTAGTAATACTTGTATCACGAAACTATCTCAAAAAATATTTTCTTGCTTTAAATAGACTGCAGTGGGTTGATAAGCTGTTAAAAATGAATCAATCTCTTCTCTAGTTATGTAACATACTTAAGTGGAATTTGAACTCAGCTCTCCAATTATCTTATTATTCCATTCTGGCATCCATTGCACCACTTGCATATCCATAATGTGAATATCTTACAGGTATTATCATAATGTGCATATCCTAATTTTTGATGTATTATCATAATGTGAATATATACGTTTTAAAATATCTGTTTTTAATGCCATCATAAGTCACTTGATGAAAATTTTCCAACCAACAAGGCTTTATATAAAAAGACCAAAAAGTTATTTTCTTCCATTGTATGGTTGAAAATAGTATTTAAAAGAATATCCTATCTGTGAAGTCACGAGAGTGAAACTATCAGTGCACAATGTATATCTATGCAGTATGACTCTATGGTTATATTATCAGAGAGAACGCATGTGCTTAATTCATGAATGGTTCAAAATTTCTGAAGAGGTGATTATTATTATTACTATTATCATGTGTATGGATCTCCTGATAATCATCCGAACAAATGTTCAAGAATGTAAAGAATTTGCCTTTCATTCTCAAATGCTATAAATGACATTTGAATTACGGAACATTAAAATGATTACTTTGTGTCTGCTTCTTGTGTTAAATGCAAGAATTTGCTCATTGTCAGTTGGAATGTCTTTCAATGGCATGGAATTCTGCCAATCGCTCTTATTTATTTATTTTTCCCAAAGAATTTTCTGCCCGATATCTTCAACGTCTATTGTGTTGTCTTTTTGTCTTATTGGAAAATCATGTCTGCTTTCGCTGCAAAAGACTCTAACCAATTATTGGCCAGGTTTCAAGAAATGACAAAAATATTGGATCATAGCCATGATTAGCTTTTTCTCTGTCTCCTTATTGTGGTGGCTTCGTTTTTTTTCTTTCTTTTTTTTTTAAATAATAAATCAACATTTTAATATTTTTGTTTTTTTTTCTTCATTAAACTTTTATCTCTTTTATCAGTTTTTAGTGTCATTTTTTTTCCTTTTTGTTGTTTTTACTTCTTCATTGTTGTTGTTTTATCATTCTTATTGTTTGAATTTTTACCTTTTTTTGATGATTGTTTTTTGTGTTTTATATCTTTTTGCTTTTAGCTTTCTTCCATTTTTCTTTGACTTTGTCCTCCTTTCTTGCCTAACTTGTTTATTTTTTTCTTATTCCTTTTCTCCTTCTTTTTAGTTTCTTATCTCTTTTTCTTTCCTCCTAGTTTCTAGTCTCTTTTTTCTTTTCCTCCTCTTTTTTCTAGTCTCTTTTTCTTTCCTCCTAGTTTCTAGTCTCTTTTTCTTTCCTCCTAGTTTCTAGTCTCTTTTTCTTTCCTCCTGGTTTCTAGTCTCTTTTTCTTTCCTCCTGGTTTCTAGTCTCTTTTTCTTTCCTCCTGGTTTCTAGTCTTTTTCTTTCCTCCTAGTTTCTAGTCTAGTCTCTTTTTCTTTCCTCCTAGTTTCTAGTCTCTTTTTCTTTCCTCCTAGTTTCTAGTCTCTTTTTCTTTCCTCCTAGTTTCTAGTCTCTTTTTCTTTCCTCCTAGTTTCTAGTCTCTTTTTCTTTCCTCCTAGTTTCTAGTCTCTTTTTCTTTCCTCCTACTTTCTAGTCTCTTTTTCTTTCCTCCTACTTTCTAGTCTCTTTTTTCTTTCCTCCCTAGTCTCTTTTTTTCTTTTCTTGTCTCTTTTTCTTTCCTCCTAGTTTCTAGTCTCTTTTCTTTCCTCCTAGTTTCTAGTCTCTTTTCTTTCCTCCTAGTTTCTAGTCTCTTTCCTCCTAGTTTTTCTTTCCTCCTGGTTTCTAGTCTCTTTTTCTTTCCTCCTGGTTTCTAGTCTCTTTTTCTTTCCTCCTGGTTTCTAGTCTCTTTTTCTTTCCTCCTAGTTTCTAGTCTCTTTTTCTTTCCTCCTAGTTTCTAGTCTCTTTTTCTTTTTTTCTTTCCTCCTAGTTTCTAGTTTCTAGTCTCTTTTTCTTTCCTCCTTTTTTCTTTTTAGTCTCTTTTTCTTTTTCTTTCCTCCTACTTTCTAGTTTCTTAGTTTCTAGTCTTTTTCTTTCCTCCCTAGTTTCTTGTCTCTTTTTCTTTCCACCTAGTTTCTTGTCTCTTTTTCTTTCCTCCTAGTTTCTAGTCTCTTTTTCTTTCCTCCTAGTTTCTAGTCTCTTTTTCTTTCCTCCTGGTTTCTAGTCTCTTTTTCTTTCCTCCTGGTTTCTAGTCTCTTTTTCTTTCCTCCTGGTTTCTAGTCTCTTTTTCTTTCCTCCTACTTTCTAGTCTCTTTTTCTTTCCTCCTAGTTTCTTGTCTCTTTTTCTTTCCTCCTACTTTCTAGTCTCTTTTTCTTTCCTCCTACTTTCTAGTCTCTTTTTCTTTCCTCCTACTTTCTAGTCTCTTTTTCTTTCCTCCTAGTTTCTTGTCTCTTTTTCTTTCCACCTAGTTTCTTGTCTCTCTCTCTCCCTCTCAGTTTCTTGTCTCTCTCTCTCCCTCTCAGTTTCTTGTCTCTCTCTCTCCCTCTCAGTTTCTTGTCTCTCTCTCTCCCTCTCAGTTTCTTGTCTCTCTCTCTCTCCCTCTCAGTTTCTTGTCTCTCTCTCTCTCCCTCTCAGTTTCTTGTCTCTCTCTCTCCCTCTCAGTTTCTTGTCTCTCTCTCCCTCTCAGTTTCTTGTCTCTCTCTCCCTCTCAGTTTCTTGTCTCTCTCTCTCTCCTCTCAGTTTCTTGTCTCTCTCTCCCTCTCAGTTTCAGTTTTGTCTCTCTCTCCCTCTCAGTTTCTTGTCTCTCTCTCTCTCTCAGGTTCTTGTCTCTTTCTTCTCTCTCTCTCTCTCTGTTTCTTGTCTCTCTCCCTCTCAGTTTCTTGTCTCTCTCTCTCTCTCCCCTCTCAGTTTCTTGTCTCTCTTTCTATCTCTCCTCTCAGTTTCTTCTCTCTCTCTCTCTCTCCCCTCTCAGTTTCTTGTCTCTCTCTCTCCTCTCAGTTTCTTGTCTCTCTCTCCTCTCTGTTTCTTGTCTCTCTCTCCCTCTCAGTTTCTTGTCTCTCTCTCTCTCTCCCTCTCAGTTTCTTGTCTCTCTCTCTCTCCCCTCTCAGTTTCTTGTCTCTCTCTCTCTCTCCCTCTCAGTTTCTTGTCTCTCTCTCTCTCTCCCTCTCAGTTTCTTGTCTCTCTCTCTCTCTCCCTCTCTCTTTCCTCTCAGTTTCTTGCTGACTTTTATTTCAAATTAATATATTTTATTCCTAGACATAATTTTTGCTTTTATTTTCCAATTTACTTTCATGTTTATACTAGTTTTTTTTTTTTATTTTTTATCAAATGACAGAAGTAAATGTATATATGTTTGCCAAACTGACTTTTAAAAATAATTTCTACACATTAATAATTTCTAGGCACATTAATAAACAATTATTTTAAAAAAAAAATTTTTTTATCCTTAAAGAAAGAATTTCAATATATTTTGGGTTAAATTTCAGAAAATTAAATTTCAAAGATAAATTCTAATTATTTCTAACAGTCATTACAGTAAACTTTTAATCAAGTACAGATTGATTTTTTTTTTAATAACTAGGATGCTACTTTATAGGTTATCTATATCAATAAATAAACACTGGGGGATCCCAGAATCATTTGAACTTCATTTTGAAGCCTCCCACTACAATATTCAAGAGTTAAGGAAATTTGTCATGATGAACCAATGAAAAAACATTTTTGTAAATTTCCAATATTTTTCAACACATTGAATTTTATGCGTTTCAGAGCAGTTTTTACAGTCAATCCTTTCCTTGTTGCTCATTTGGTTTCAACACACTCTACTTTATTGTTGTGTATGATACACCTAATTTACATAAGCGGACTACCGACCATATAAATATGGGTTGGTACCGGAAGACGGGGAAGATAGTAGAGATTAAGAAATTGAATCCAGAGACTCTGCCCGACTGTGATTTAGTCAACCCATTATGCAGGAACAGTCTTCCCAAGAATATACCAAACTAACTGTAAATATTGTGTACCTATTCTTTGTTTCAATACATTTTGTTAACGTACATTTTGTGTTGTATTATTCCATGCTTATTTAAGCTTCAACATTTATGAAATGGACAAAGTTCGACAATTATTTTAAAATATTTATGTTTATACATTCTTTTTATAGATACAAATATTTAAGTAAATGCTCTGTTTATAATAAACAGTATTAATAACATTTACTGGCCTGAATGTCCGAGAAAATTTTCATTTAATTTGTATCTATAAAAAGAATGTATAAACATAAAAATGTTTTAAAATAATTGTCGGACTTTGTCCATTTCATAATGTGTGACGTTGTTTACATTTGATACGCTTTGAGCAGATATGAATGTACGTGAGAAATTCATGGAAGATTGTAGTTTAAAAGCAGTAAAATCAA